ACACAAATTCTTCAATCTTATATATGTAGCATAATTTACATTGTATTCATTGAACTCGTGGGACATGAAATACTATACAAGACATATGTTTGTACATAATTTAGATACACATACAAACTATACTTAATTAAAGTGGACGTGTGCAATTATATAATATTTTTTTGCATAGGAGGATATGCGGCCTATGGCACTCCTTCTATGCAGTGGGGTAAGAAGGCTCCATCGCAAGGCCACACATACCCCTCTTGTCGGTAATGTCCTTCTCCATTCGTAAATATCCGTTCTCGCCCCATGTTGTTCCCCATGAGTTCTTCAACAACCAATACTTTGTGCCATCGCTGGTCTTGCCATAACCAATAGCTGCAATTCCATGGTCTAGATCAGTGCCACATGAGCCCGTCATTACTCCACCTTTGTAAAACTGGAACGTCATATCTCCTCCATCTACAGCTACCGAGACAGGTTGACTTGCGACGGCTTGCATGAGCGCTCCCTCATTGTTGGCTGGAACATCCTCATAGCTTTTGATGGTCGCGGCATCATTGGTTCCACTCTTGCACTTGTCATCTGCCGCGGTATATGGGTAGTTGGACTCGGTGGTGAGACCACCATTCTTGATTATGAACTTAAAGGCATCATCCATGAGACCTCCTTCACAACCTTGGTCTTCACCATGGACATCACAATCCACCAATTCTTGCTCTGACAGTGAGATAAGCTTGCCAGTTTTGAGTTTAACGATGCCCTCTGTAGCAGCGACCGCAGAAAATGCCCAACAACAACCTAGACATGGTTATGTTTTAGTAGATACTATCAGACGACATTCTAAAAAAATAAACATATATCCAATACATATTATCCTTAATATACTCACCACATTGGCCCTGGTCCTTGATGGGAGTGACTGCACCTTTGGTCCTCCAGTCTACGGTTGCCGGAAGTGCATCGAGACTTAGATTCTCGTACCTGAATCTGGTAGGAACCCGCTGCAAGCTTGGTTTGTACCCCTTGTTAGCCTTTGTCCCCTTGAACTCCTCGTTGGTGAGGTCAGTAAACTGATTGATGCCCAAATAGAACTTGTGATTCTCAGAGTTAAACGACTCGATGAACCCGACATTGGCCTTGAAGACCTCAAATCGGTATGCCTTCTCAGTAGTGTCTTTGTACACACGGTTGTACTGCGCCATCCAGCTCTCATGCCTTGCCACCATCGACAAGTCATTGTTGATCTCGCGAGCCGCTAGGACCGAACTGTAGAAGCAAAGGCATCCGAGGAGGCCAATGATCAAAGCTTTTGAGATGGCCATGGTATATTTGATGGATTGCTTGCGAGTACTAGTGTGCAATGTGTGCTCTGCTTTGTTTCTACGGATGGAACTGGGTTTCTTATATAGTTCCATGCATGTATTTAACTATAAATGATGGAGAAGGTCTCCAACGTAGCAGTGAAGTACATCTAGTGGGAAGATGTTATAAATCAAAGGTACTTACGGTCTGGTGTGGGGATGGTGGTGTAAATCAAACATACCTAGCTGGAAGTGCTTGCACGGTGACGTTGACGGATTTTTCTATCAATGATATTCCTATGTATCTTTATAGCGTTTTGGCGTGAGTACCGAGGACAAAATATATAAGTTTGCTGCCGTCTATGCAGTGCATGTATAAGAATTTGGAGTGTAACATTACGTTTTAGATTCTTGATTCACATATTTGTTGGTACCTACCCTGCAAGAAAAATTATGGGTACCTACAGAGAATACATATAAGAATCCTTGTAGCATGCCAATACAAAATGATTAGATGTGCCGCTTGTAGGGACTAGGAGAGCAACACGGACATAATAAGTTGATTAAGACAACTTAGCTAACCATATGATGGTATATTAAAAAGAACTAGGAATAGTTAACCGATCTTAAGTAGTTTAATTCGGAGTCCAAACAATGCTTTGTACACATCTTCTATTTTAAGTTCTACATGGACTCCATAGCCCCAAACGTACGTCTAGTGCAAGAATTTTAATAACACCAAGCGTATTTCACGGCCACGCAGATGCTCCTTTCGACTAATAATTTCATAGATTTCATAGAAGTACCGTATCTCACATTCCCTGCGGTGGTCGTGGTGTGTGCGCGGTCACCCTAAGAAGCGTGTGGTGCGGGTTGTTAGGTTGTGCGACATTGCAGCTCAAGGTTGAACGGTAGTATGTTACGCCCTGCAAAGTAGACACACCGTGCAAAGCACCAAGCGACACACACAACCAACGCAGACAACACTTATCTCCTCCTCCCCTTGATTTGTAGGGCTACGAAAATGATATGCAAGAACTGAGCAGAGTACTGACACATGGATAGGTGGGTCAAGGCAAGAGAAACATTGGTGGGTAGTTGAGAGCCGGAGTAAACACATGACACACGCATGTGCAAATGGGACCAATGCAAGAGGAAAGGGAGATGGCCAACTGTGAAAGGCGACATCCATGCAAAACAGTTAGGAGGGCCTACAACCCCCGATTTATGGCGAGCACAATAAGTTGGGATCCTTTGGACCCTGAGCTTCATCGCCAATGTTGTGGGTTGCCTTGACCACATTGCTCCCCTCTTCGAGGGCCAGGTTTCCATCTTTGGGGGCCTGCATTTCATCGCCGACGGAGTCGATGAGACACGTCTCTACAACACGGCACTGTGCTGGGCACAAGATCCAACGCACATGCAATGCATGCGATCTGCATCAACAATCCACCAGCCCTCCTCGACTTGCCAGTTTGTGGTGACAATGGAGTCCATCTTCCCTATCTTGGATGAATATGAGTATGAGGGGACGAGAGCTTGGATAGCCGCCTATTGAAAATATGATCTAGAGGCAATAATAAATTTCATTATCTATTTCCACGTTTATAACTAATGTTTACATTTCTATGCTAGAAATTGCTATGCTTCTTGAATGTGAGATTCAGAGGAAAACTCACATGCATGTGTGGAAACATAAACGCAAAATAGGTTCTTAGTCTCGCCTCTAAGGCTAGCTCATGTGTTGCATGATGATCCCGTTTTCCTGGTCATAGGACATTGTTAAAGTAACAAGGATGATGCCGGCAACAACGAGAGCACATTGTGAACGGAACAACGGTGTTGAACAGACCAACCGAATGATATACTACAAGAACACATCGTCACAATGTTATAAGTATAATTATAAAAGTGTTATCGTATACACTCATCCTTAAACCATGCGAGTATCAAGTACATTCATGCCAGATGGTACACTTTGAAGTTTTCAAACGTAACTTGTAATAGGGTGATTATAAAGGCGGCTTGCGTGCACATAAAAAAACTATGCCTAGGGATTTGATAGCTCAAGATCGGGATTTACTCCTTCAATGATGGATAATAATCTCCGGGCACACTCAATATTACGGTATCCATCATCGTCTAGCCAGATATAGTATGATATGATCACGAGGATACAAGGATACGGAAACGAGAAACGAGAACAAAACCGTAACGAGGATAACTTAGTATTGTGATCAAATTTTTAATTCACAAAGATACTGACAGAAGTCTCGCCTTGGATTTTGTTAAATATCATGAAGCAAAAGGAATTGTGTGCGCAAAAAGAAGGTTTCCTCGATATATTCGTGTGTATGTAGGAATCAATATGGGTGTCAGAATCACACTATTGATTTAGCCTGTGCGACGTCGGCGCAAGCAACACGAGGTGTTGTAGTGGTTTTAGCAGACACTCGGCTTACTCTCCGTATGCTGAGTACCCGTGAATTTATAATCGGCACACAGCTGAACAACCAGGCAACGACAGTATTTCCTGTAGTGGAACATGCGTGTGCATGGTTTGGATTTAGATGTTTCATGTGTATGCATGATTACCATCGATCCATGCATGGCAACATCTACACATGTTGTTTGCTTGTGCGAGCCCCCCAGCCAGCAATCTACTCTGCTCAGCATGATCTCTGGAGTCTGGTGCTCATTTCTGATAGACAATCCTACGCGGCCGTTACACCAGCATGCAAGATGCCCAAAGGTTACGTGCGTGTGCCAACCCAGCAATCACGCAGGCCCATGGCAGCCGAGTCGAATGGGCAGCCCAATGGCATCATTATCCTCCCAGTATAATAATTTTCATCTCTGATAAAAAAATTGATAGACATAGGCCGTACCACAGTGGAAAGGCAACATATATATACCTGGGCCTGGGCCAGCATTTCCCCAAGTTCAGCCGAACGCCAAATAGAAACAATACTGCATTTGCATTGTCAAGAGTGTTGACAGCGAGAAAAGCTGTAACTTCTCCAAGATTAAAAAAAAAGGACAAAAAAAACCTTGGGACATCATCGCTACAATCCATAGATCAAAAGCATCAACTTTATACATGCAGACCGGCACCGCGAGCACCTATATGCTTATGTATCACCTCGGAAGATGGAAGGCAGACCAATCTAATGCATTTCAATCTCCTGCGTCGGTATTGTTGGTACTGAATGGTCCATGTGGCGAGTATCAGATGTGCCAGATGAGCTTGCTATCTCGGCTTTGCACAGAGGGCAGAGGGCATTTATCTTTAGCCATTTGTCGACGCATTCCTTGTGGAAGCAGTGTGTGCAGGGAAGTTCACGAAGCTCTTCGTTGTGTGCATACTTGGCAAGGCAGATGCAGCAAACCTGGAATCACAAGAAAAGGCAAGACAGTGAGTCCTTTCAACATGGAACTTCCATTTTGTTGCAATAAGCAGGTACTACAAAAGATACAAAGCAACAGGTCAACATACAGCATCTTCAGCAGAAAGCGACCGCTCCTTGTCAGTCCCTGCAGCCACTATACCTCCCTCTTGGCCTTCGGCTTCGTTACCTGAACCATGGCGGCGTTTCTTGGTTTTGAATTTATAAGTTGGCAAAGTATTGATGGATTCCGAAGTGGCCCCTCTTGTATTGTTTGTGTCTTCTCTGAAGCCCATGACGGATATAATGCAGGGGAGACAACAGCATATCATTGCGCAGAGGATGAAAGGCATGGCATACCCAATACAGCTGAAGGTGAGGAACACGATGCATAACCTGGTAGGAAACAACGTGAGCAGCAGGGTAAAGAAACATAACATCACATCCGAATAAACAATATATGTACTTACCTGTACAAGTTTGGAGCATCAATAGCCGAAGAACGCCCACCGAATATCCACACATTTCCTACAACAAACCACACGGCAAAGAAACAATCCAAGGCCATCTTGAAGTGGTCAAAAAGTGCATTAATCCTGCAAACAAGGGGCATCCATCATCATTTATAAATTGGTTCGTACTATGACCCATCCATAACAGAACAGAACTATGGACTTTGTAGTATTCATCATAAGTAGATGCGTGGAGGGCGGGCATAAACTAGCTCCCATATACCGTAACCTAGCTGAGAGCAGCATCTAGTAATATTTTCCTGGTCAAATAGCAAAAACAGCAAAGCTAGCCAGTTTCAACCATATAATGATTCAACAGAAGTTACTATGATACAGAAATGCATTTGTGAGCTGGAATAGTGAATTTCACATGCAAGCTATGACCATTTCATATAAAACCAACAAACATAGAGGACTATTCATGCAAAAAGACAACAATGTACCTTGGGTTAGCCAGAACTGCATTCCGTGCAGCATTCCTTCGCCGTTCTGATACACTTGCAGGAGTGGGCTCAGTCGAGTTGTTCTGCGAGGAGCCCTGAAGTGAGTGTGCTGGCTCATTCTCACCGTTCACAATATTACGGTGTATATAGCGCCAGTAAAGATGTGGCAAAGTGGCAAAACAACCGACCGTATAACCTATGACCCACTCAAACAATGGAGCTTGTGGATGTTCCTTCCTTGACAGGGATAGCACAACAATGGCAGCAACAATTTGGCTAACATTAACGATAACTTCAACCGAAATCCATAGTCCAGAGTTCAAAGGGCTCCTATGTCGCCGACCATAGTTATCACGTCTCCTAGTGCCTGAAGTATTTTCTGCATGAGGAGGACCTATTGCTGCTGGTGGCTGCAAGGCAGACGTTGCAGCTCTTGTTGAAGGCCTATCCACAGGATTAAACCCTTCATGGTTCTCTCTACCAACACTGTGCGATGCCGAGGCCGAAGGACCGCTATCCCTTGGAATATCAATTACATGTTCATGACCACTTACCCCCGTTGTTTGTTCCATTCCAGATTGCGTAGTAGTATGACCTTGAATTTTGAGGAATATGATAAGCTAAGCTCTTCAGTATTCAGAAGTAACAAAGGATGGAGGCAAGCTGCCACATTTCAATGCCCTCCTGCTATCTATGTTCTAACAAAGGATTTGTGTGGATGCTTCAACAGAGAATCCAAAGCTTCAAACTAGTCTCTCGGTTAATATAATCAATGATAGTTGTCCTGCAACAGTAATAGGAAAAACGCATTAGTGTGTCACCATTTGCACACACGAAATAGCACCATCTTCAAACATAATGAAACCAATAAGCTACTAAAATTAATATAACATATTCATATGTATCCGGAATTTTTGCCTAAAGAAAATATGTTCTCCTCAAAAGATAAGTGTGATCAGGATGAACCAACAAAACTCTACAAATGTTAACAAGTGAAAACAGATATCATTATAAAGAAGTTTAATTACTTGAAGCACGGGTTATAGAAATAACGACAACGGGATCCGGCTGAGGCCTGGAACATGATGCCTCTTGCAATGGAAGATAGGGATGTAAAGCGACGATAAATACACCTAGGGTAATATGACCTATGACGTAGTGAAGACAGACAATTGTGTGCATATGGGTGAAGTGAGCAAGACAAGGAGCAGCAAAGCTCATCCTAGCCTAACCCCATTTCAGGAACAGCTTAACAATCGAAACCCAAATTCTAATTTGCATCACCGCCTTATCACAGGTTCACAGTACAATGAAATACAAGTTGCTATTTCATCTGAGTAGAGCTCAATTTTAAATCCTCAAGGTCAAGGTTAATAGGCAACAACATCAAACTCAAGAGATAAATATCAAAATAGTAAAGCACTAGCAGACTGCAGCTGGTGGTAGACCTCTACTGGGTTACCACCACACTAGTTGAACCACATAACGATAAGGTCATACACTGAGATACAAAGGATCAGTTGGGCCATAGCACAACATCATTGAAGACCATTTCACTAATACCACAGTTAATCATGTCAACATATCGCTACAAGCTAAACAAACTAACCACCAAATGCAAGCAATAGAGGCATAATTAAATATAGAAGAAACCAGTGAAAACTGTGAAATGATGGTATTCAGCAATCACATTTCCGTGAGCCACATAGGAGCATAATCCAAATAGGCATCACTAGCACTTAAACCCTGAACAGCAATGCATAAACAAAGCAGTGCACATGAAAACTGCCTAAAACCAACCTCAGATCGTTCCAATAATAGGCACAACGGCCCAAAGTACTTCACCCAATAATCAACTACAGGGTGACATAAGATATTGCAACATCGCCGCAAATTACCCTGGCCAATATCACACCGACCGTACTACATTGACAGCAGGACACCTAAATTTGAGAATTCTCGCAGATCCGGTCAACCGAGGGCATATCAACACAAAAGAGACCCCCAATTTGACAAACAAATCGTCCGATCCGCACAAACAAACACCACGGGAGAGACGATTGAGGGATGAGATCGTTACCGCAGCCCTCGAGCGGCGCCACGGAGAGTAGATCGACAGGCAGACAGCCGGTACTTCCCTGGCGCAACCCCGACGAACTGTGCGCCGACGGCGTGAGGAGCAGCGGCAGGGAAGGGGGAGGTGACGCCGGGTGACCTGACGGAGCTGGCGGCGGGGAGAGGACTGACACAGGGAGCACGAAAAGGCGACTGTGAGGACGAGGACGAGGAGTAAGCGCGGGCGGGGAGATGGGGGGAGTGTCAACCCTAGCCTGTCTACTACTCACTGTGCAAGGCAGCTCGCGCGGCGCGCGAGGGGAGGGAGGACGGCGGAATCCGGCGACCGGGCGGCGCGAGGAGTGCGGCGGAGCCAGTCGGCTGCGCGCGGCGGCGATCGGGCGGGCGGGCGGCGGCGAGGAGTGGGCTTGGTGCGGTGCGGTGGGGAGGGCGGAGACGGGGAGGGAGGGGTTGGTGGCGAGGGTCTTAACCCATCTCGGATTGGGGAATATGATGGAGGATGACGATGCCTTCTCCTTCCCGCAAAGCTAGAGCGGCGAGCGGGCCGAGATGGGCCGCCACGGCCTCGCGTTTCCGTAAATGGTGTACGCGCCGGCCGCGCTCGGGCCGCTAGGGGACAGCAGGCGGGCCGGGCCGACGAGCCCTCACGCGGCGAACCTGATCGAGAGCGTGCTGTCCCGAAAAGAAAAGAAAACCGGGAGCGTCCGGCCTAACCTTGCCGGAAATGTGAAGATGCCTCTCAAATCAAAAGAAAAAAAGTGAAGATGCCACACTCGAGTGAAGACGCGTCTTTATTATAAAAAAATGAATTCTGAAAAAAATGACTTGGAAAATGAAGACGTGTATGCTGACGCAACAGTATTTGGAATGTTAGGTTGGGCCTCCCATCTTGCGGTATGTGGACTTCGTCCTCATCGTCACCGATTGGTGTAACATATACTGATTGGCTGCGAACTAAAACACTTTCAAAAGAACTAGTTTTGACCTTAAGAAGGGACCCTAGTGCTTTTATTTAAAGAAAAATATTGCTACATGACGGCAATACCACTACTAGTGACTCTCTTTTACTATGAAATGGCACTGCTAGGCACACCTACTACGTACCAGTTACAAAATAAAGATGATTGTGTGCATCGCTACATGCAAAGGCCGAGAGTTATCCTCCTTTTCAGAAAGAATCACAAAATAATAGCTGCAAACACCTGCTACATACATACTATGTGTTCCTGTTTTGTTGTAAAATCATCGTTGCACCCAACTCCTAACAATAGTTAATCTACAGAATATAATAGTAAGAGATTTTTGTGATATTTAGAAGAAATTGGAGGTTTTTCTATGGGGAAGAAGAAATTAGAGTTTTTCCAAAAATAATTAGATGTGTGTGTGCGCAGACGTGATAAGGAGTAATATGGGCCAGTTAACCACATGCACTGGTCAGCACCACTTATGCTTTACACTGCATCATCCCATTTTGCTAGCCAAATCTAAGCATCGAAAATGGAGGATGACGATGCCTTCGCCTTCCCGCAAAGCAAGTGCGGCGAGTGGGCTGGAATGGGCCGCCAGGGCCTCGCGTATTCGTAAATGGGGTACACGCCGGCCGCGCTCGGGCTGCTAGGGGACGGCAGGCGGGCCGGGCCATCGAGCCCTCGCGCGGCGTAGCTAATTGTGAGTGTGTGCTATCTCAAAAAGAAAAGAAAACCGAGAGCGTCCAAGCCTAACCTTGCCGGAAATGTGAAGGTGCCCCTCACAAAAAATTGTAAAGATGCCACTCTCGAGTGCAAGCGCATCTTTACTTTAAAAATGAATTCTGAAAGAAAAAGACTTGAAAAATGAAGACGCGTCTGCTGACGCAACTGTATTGAAACGTTAGCTTGGGCCTCTTGCGTTGCAGTATGTGGACATCGTCCTCATCGTCACCGATTAGTGTAACACATACTGATTGACTCTGAACTAAAATAATTTCAAAAGAACTAGTTTTGACTTTAAGAAGGGACACTAGTACTTTCAAAATAAAATTAAATAAAATGCTAGGATGATGGGATCAGGGGATCATTGTCTATGCACTGTGGCAATACCACTACTGTTGACTCTCTTTTACTACTAAATGCCACTGTTAGGCACACCTACTACGTGCCAGCTATAAAATAATATTCCCTCCGTTCTGAATTACTTGTCACAGAAATGAATAAAAATAAATGTATGTAGAACTAAAATACATCTAGATACATCCATTTCTCCGACAAATATTTTCGAACGGATGGAGTAGTTGTACACAGTTGCTATAAATGTACTCTTTGTTCCTTTTTTGCTAGAAAATCGTCGCTACATCCAACTCCTAACAGTAGCTGTTTTAGAGAATATAACAGTAAATTAGAGATTAGTGATTTCTATAAGAAATTGGAGGTTTTCTATGGGGAAAAATAATTAGAGTTTATTTGAATATAAGTAGATGTTTCTGTGTGTGTGTGCGCGCGCGCGCACGCGTGATCAAAAAAATATGGGCTGGTTTACCACATGCAAGGCCTGGTCAGCAACCGCTTATGCTTTACACGACATGATTCTAGTTTGCTGGCCAAACCTAAGCTGTCGAAATTCAACACGGAGCTTCCTACTGCGTGCCTGCGTGCTGGGAAGAACACAAGGGAACTGTTAAAGCTCAATTAACTTGTGTTAATTATGGGGGAATCTCCCCTTGTACCAACCGCAGCCAGTTTGCGTTGGCAACTATCGCGTCGGTTCCTGACATCTCTCCCGAACGGATGCCTCTTCGATGCATCCCTTTTGCCTGTATAAATACCTATAATGAAAGGACACTTATTCACTTTTACATCTGTGCCGAGGCTCTCTCGATTGTTCTCTTGTTTTCTCTTTCAACACGTTATCAGCACGCTCTCGGCGGAGCGATTTCATCTGCGCGACGATTCCCCCTACAGCATCGCTCGCTCACGTGTTCGTCGGCGTGGTGGTGCCCGCTACTGCGGCCGCCCTCAGGACCGACGTTTCTGCAGCGCGCTGTGGTCATGAATTCGTGCAGGCGAAACAAGGCCATGAAGAACAGAAAATGAATGAAAAACAGGGGAGATGGCATCCATTGATCAAAAGATTGGAGGTTTAAACCGAGAATTCATTGTCTCCCATCACGACAAGAGTGTAAATCGAGATCCACCAATGAACGGATCGGGAAGAAAACGGAAAAGGTACACGCGTTGATTTCTTAAATCGCTTTATGAGGGACGGTCTCGTCGCGAAGAACGGCGGCGGTCGAACCCTCGGGCCCCATCGGCAAGGCGCCTCATCGGCGTCCAATGGTGGGAGAACGCCCTCGGCCGCGTGATCCGGCGCACGAGCGACGGGCATCTGGCGCAACGGCGTCCTGGCCCCGGCGCTGCTCCTCCCGGCACACCCCATGCTCGACCATCGGCCTTGCCCCCACGGGCGCAGAGGCGACCCGGCCCCGGCGCTGACACATGGAGCCCAACGGCGCTCGGGCTCG